GGCTGACATCTGCAAGGCTATGCGCTGTTTTTATAATAAAAAAAGAAAAGATCTCTAACGATATCGCGTACATTTGACTAAGATTCATGTGCCTGCTATAACCTTATCAGACTGGCTCTCATAGTTGGTGTTCAAAATGGAGTTTCAATTAGATGAAGAAATACAAGTATAGTATAATACACCGACTGCAGCTGAAAAATACTAAAAAAAGAAAGCAAAGGTAAATGCAACCGACCACATGCAGAAACGATGAGAAAATAAACCACTTCACAGTCAATATTCTGCCCGTACCAAACAAGCTGATGTAGACAAACTGGGTTAGTCCACAATGCAGATTCTGTGATAAATATCTCGAAACGAATGACCATCGTGTATCAGGTTGCGCGGTATTGGCAACCACTGAATATAAAACAATAATTCCAGTTGTAGTTGGAGCCCTCTGATTGATTCGCAAAGGTTCTGAAAGAAATAATTGAAGGGATTCCTTGTGGCCCATGCCTTAAAGAAATACAAAAAATGGTACTCACAAGTACATCTCACATATTACGCTCCTTCTACATAGCATGTGCATGATCTTTGTTGTTATTTTTACAAAAAAAAAATATCAGTGGAAAATGTCGTGAAGCCATTTCTGACCCTAGGTCTCTGGTTTGGACCCGGAAGGAAATGTATATGCAACAAAAAAAATGAAAGGAAATAATAATAATAATAATAATAATAATAATAATAATAATAATAATAATAACAGAAGACAGCAGACTACAAAATTTACATTATGCGTAAGTATTAATGTTTTCCTCAATGTGACGTGTCTCTTTAGGGCGTTGGCAATTAGGACCGCCACAGTTTATTGTCCTTTGTAGCTCTTGGTAAATTTTCTCTTTTTGTCTTCTCTCCTAAACTCTGTTCGGCCATCCACTTACACTAGCTTGTTAGGAAGTTTATGCGGTTGTTTATCTCTGTCATATTTGCCTTCAATATGCCCTGTGTGTGTCAAATTTCCAAACCTCCTTCCCTCATTATGTGCCCTAGACATTTCAACTGTCATATAGGAAGACTGATATTGCATCACACTTCGGTATTCTTTTATTTGTTTCTAACAATATTTTTCTGTTTTTTTAATACTTTTCTCAGCTTTTGGGAGGCATTTTTCACAATTCAAATGAGTTTTTTTTTAACGATAATGTTATAAATGTTAATACTTTTCCAGAAACGTGGATTGTAAAAACGACAATACTGCACATCTTTTTGTAGCGCTCAGAGCGGTGTCAGAAACTGGAGAAAATGAAATCCATTTAAGATTTAATACATTCTGATACAAAAAGAAATAATTAGTGACGTAGAGCGAAGACATGTTGTTATTCCAACTATAAAAAATAAATTAACCTTTTTTTGTACAGTACAACTAGGAGGATTTAAAGTAAAAATAAAAAGTCAGAAAAAATAACGTCTTTTCACTGTTCAAATATCAACATGTGGCTGGCGTTAATTGTCCATTTTTTCCCTTTGTTTTTTGTCTTTCTTTTCGTGTCCAGAGAAAGCAAGCGTCTATGACATTTTGTCGTGTGTCAAACGAATAATTAACTTCGCTATAGATAATGAAAATAAAAAGTTACACAAACAAACAAAGCTAGGATCAGATGGCAATGAAATGTTCTCTCACACGCACACACTACCGATAGCCAGTTTTGCATATAAACAATATAATATATATATATATATATATATATATATATATATATATATATATATATATATATATATATATATATATATATATATATATATATATATATAATGAGATAACGATATATAAATTTTTTATATATCAAGAAAAGTATTCGGGAAAATGTATGTCAAAGTGGAAAAAAGTTTTCGTGTGACGCGTTTCATCCTTTAGGACTTTATCGGATTAAATGTCTTACGTTGGTGCGACTACACATGCGCACAAACGACGGCAGCTGGGAATTAAAACCAAACAATCTCACATAAAATCTTGCTTAATTCATTTAGATTCTTTTTCTGTTTGTTTTCAACACTTTAGTCATTAGATGTCCTACACTGTGATAATAGAAGATCTGCCAGGAATGGTGAAATATTGTAAAAGCCAGGGTGCAAATTTACAGTGGATGTTCTTGCGATACAGACAATCGCTAAGATTTTTCGTCGAAGTGAATTGTTTTATCCTTTAATCAGAGTCGCTTTTTTAAGTCAAAATTGTCGTCAGTCTCGTTACAGTGGGCAACCAATGCATTTGATGTATTTTGTAAAATGTCTCTTTTGTGTGCAAATAATGTTTTATTTAGATTGCTTGAGGTTTCTCCTATGTATTTTATGTTTGTGTGTGTGTATTATTAGTAATATTATTTGTGGATTTTTATAAACGCAAAGCCTACCAAACATTTAGCTAAACGCAAAGCCTATAAAAAAAAATACAAAAATACACAAATATTTCCGATAACATAATTAATTAGTCATAATACTAAACAACTCTATCGAA